TACTTAAGGTTTCCATGTTCTGGTAGGCCACTCACTTAAGAGTCAAGAGTTAACATGCAGGATCCTGGATCTTCTACCTTCCTGCCTTTAGACTGACACTAGTGGAAAGATGCTGGAGGTCTAAGGGCTCCAGCTTCAGTGTAGCCTTTTAGAAGTTTAGAATTCTTATTTTAAACACAAACCATAATAAAGCTTTAGCATTGGCATTTTATATTCTCCACATTAAGTGATCCATTTTTCCATGAAGCATTATAAGGATTCATTTTGTGATTGCAAAATTCCATATAATTAGTTTTATAAATTGTACCCCAATCGTTTTATAAAATACACAAGTGCACTGGAAAATTAAGATAATTTTAATACAATCAAAGATGGAACCTTGCCCCCTCTGCCAGTAGTATGTAGAAGCATAATCATATCCAATATTAGGTCTACCAGATTAAGGCTGCAAAAATATACATGACTACCAAGGATAGCACCGAAAAGGTAAAGTTTTCTATATGCTGGTATGATATCTGAAACCTGCAGCTAAGGTCATGACTTGTTTCAATCATAATTTGTTAGATAAGCCTTAAGAGCTGAATTCATATACTGTATAATAAGTAAGCCATGAATCAAATGAACTACATTATGATACACGAATCCAGCCAATGTAGATGGCTTTGGCTGAAGCAATACAGAATAGGTAGAGAGAGATCTTTAATGGTCTGAAGGAGCTTCTCTTTAAGCTGAGAGTCCCAACAGTTAAGTATAATAAGTAACTATAATTTATAGCAATGAAGTATAATAAATAATTTCCTTAGGGTAAGTAGCAGGAAAATTTTAGTGCAGAAAATACTGAGGGATAAACGTGTTTCCACCAGCACCATGTTCTAATGGACTCTACAGCTACAACAACAACAACAAAGAAATGCAATTATGTATTTCTTGTCTACTAAGAAAAGGTTTGCAAATAAAAGCAGCCTATGACATTAAAAAAATGATTTTTAAATCTAGTTACATTTTTTTAAAATCATGTCCCAGCATTAGGAAGAGACAAACATGGTAACAAAATAATCATTGTAAAACCTACCTTATAAAAGAAAGCAAAAGTGTCTCATTTTAGCAAGGGATATATTGGACTGCTATAGATTTAAAACATTTTGAAAAAGAATGTATTTTTTCCTCCAGCATGCTAGAAATCAATTCACTCAATTAAATTGATGGGCAGGAGGTTCAAAAGAAACAAAAGGAAGTATTATTTCACAGAATGCATAATTGATGTATTGAAGTTATCTACACCGGATTCACTGATGGCCATTAGCTCAGACAGCAGTAAAATCATGAAGAGATACCCATTCACAGCTATAACAATGTTGGCTGCTTGAAATCTAAGCTTTGACTATTAGGTGCAGGCAGATACACAGGCTGAGACGTAGCTATTGCTTCATAGTTACCCTGCTTGTTAACGTCCTAGAGACATTAGGGCTTGCTAAAGGAATGGATAAGGAAAACTACAGATAATTGTAGTGCAGCTGCTAAATAAATTAATTTATGTTCTTTTTATTTATGTTGAAAAATTAATAAAGAAAACTATATTTGCATAATTTCCACTGCAAGGAACAGATGCTGTTCATTATTTTGCATAAACAGTTTTTGATAACAATTATGTTGCTACCGAAAAATGTAAACAAAGAACTTTCTGGCTCAAATCACTTACAAAAAGCTCTAATGATAGAATAGATAACATTTTGTTATTAGTTGTTAACAACGGTTAGGAGTTAGGAGTGCTCAAAGCATATTGTCCTTTAATAATTCTTACTTGTAGGAGTGTTGTAACACAGTATTATCACTGTTTTGCATATGAAGTGGGCATAGGGTGAGAAATAGTTAATTGCCAAAGACAAAGAAATGTACTTTTTTCAGTGAGATAAAATACAGCAAGCTTTGGAACAGGCATTCCATCCAAATGCTGAATTCAGATGTTTATCACATTGAATCTAACACAGTTTCCATATTCAGACGCTCAACTAAAATACAAGTAGTCCTCGGTTTAAGAACGAGTTTCGTTCCCAAGGTCTGTCGTTAAGTCGAATTTGTATGTAAGATGGAACAGTATTATTGTATAATACTCTATAAGCAGTATTGTGTAATTAACTCAAACCATTGTGTATTTAACTCGAATCACTGTGTATTTAACTCGAATTTTGTATAATAGTCTCTGTTCTTAACTATGGGTTGTCTGTAACCTGGGGACTACCTGTATGCTTTCAGTACCTGATAACCACACACTTGACTTTCCAGCATTCTTACAGCAATGTGGCAACATTTGTCTCTGTTTCTCTCCTTTCTCTCTCTCGTTTACAGTTCATACCGGCAGCTTGTCCCCTAGCAACTGAGGAGGTGGGTTTCCTCCAGAGCTCTAGTCCCCAACACCTATATGCAAGACTTGGCCAATAGGAATGCTGCCTACATCAGGACTTCTTAAGCTAGATACCTTTCAAATTTGATGTTTAAAATCGTAATAGCATTATGAAATATGCCAAAGTTGGATGAAATCAGCAGGCAAAGTTGACCCTTCTTCTAGTGTCTCCAAGTTTAAGTATGTTCAAGGTATTTTCTGTAAACTTTTTCAGTTTGAGAGCATCCCCCCTCTCCTGCTATACATACTTATTCCCTTATCTTATGGGCAATGCTATGAAAATGTCATACAATATAGAGGCTGCCCAGTTTTTCCAGTTGTAATGTATAGATCTGAAAGCTGAACCATCAAAATGCTGAATAAAAAAAAATTGATGCCTTTAGATTGTGGTGTTATAGAAAACTGTTGAGAATACATTGGACAAGAAGAGCAAATAATTCAATATTAGATGAAGTAAAACCAGACTGATCAATGGAAGTACTAATAATAAAGCTAAGCTTAAACACTTTGGGAGCCTAATGTGCAGGCAAGTGAGAGTCATTGGAGAAGATTCTGATGCTTGGAAAAATCCAAGGCAATTGAAAAAGAGATTGATAGAATAGTATTAATGATGACACAAGCATGAGCATTCAAGAACTCAAAGAAGCAGTTACTGACAGACAATCCTGGTGAAATGATGTCCATCAAGTTATTATTTATTTATTAATCAAATTTATATGCCACTCATCTCACTGTGACTCTAGTGAGATGAGTCTAAGTGACTCTAGGAGGCTTACAAGTAAAAAGAAAGCTATAAAAATCTTACAAAAATAAACAAAGTTATATAAATCTGATAAAATGTCAAAATAATTAATATAAAAGGGATGTGGGAAATTCAAATTTGGCATAAAAGAATGACTTGTTTCCCCTTCCCTATACATTTCGTGGTGGGGTGGGGCTACATACATGCAAAAGGTGAAATCATAGACCACTCTTTAGACAGGTAACTTAGAACATTTCTGAAAGATAAGGGCTAGGGAGTTACAGGTAGTTCTCAACTTACGACCACAAATGGGACTGGAATGTCCATCGCTAAGAGTTACAGTTGTTAGGCAAAACATCACGTGACTGCACCGCTTCCAGTTGCAGTTGTTAGGCCAGGACAGTACCATTGTTAGGCAAGTACCTTATGCTTCTCCTGCCCTGCCATGCTCGCTTTTGCTTCAACTCCTCCCACCCACCTATCTCCTTCCCATCTCTGCCCTTTTGGACACCCTGCACAGTGGCATTCCTCAGTGGTGGCAGCAGCACTGGGCTGAATTAGGGTTCTGGGGCCTTCACCAGTCTCAGCCAGCCACCACTGCCCCCAGGCCTGTATTTCAGTCCCAGCACAGCTGGCACTGCTACTGAAGAGTGCCACCTCAAGCCCTGTGCCATGGTCAGCTGCCATAGGGCAAAACCCCAGCCACCCTGCTGCCCTGCGCTCTACAGGCCCTACCGCACCCAGCTGACCTTCAGCATTTTCTTCCAGCTGCTGACGAGATGCACCCAGCCTGCCTCATGCAAGGCAACTGCTGGCCATGCCAGCCCTTCTTCCTGAGGCCGCTCATGCCATTCTCCAGATTGCATGCAATGTTCTCCAAATCCCATGCCTCATTCCTGCATTGCTTCAGAAAGCCTTTGGAAAGATTCTGAGGTCTTCCATGGCTAAGTCTGGAAGCCCCAGGCGTCTAATTCAGCCCCAGTGCTGCCACTGCCACTGAGAAATGCTACTGTGTAGAGCATCCAAAAGGGCAGAGATGGGAGTAAAATAGGTGGCGGGGGAGACCTGAAGTGCCACTGCGGTTGTAAGTGCGGGCGAGCTGCCAGGTTTTGATCATGTGACCACAGGAGTGCTGCAACAGCCATAACTTTGGATGCCAGTCATAAGTCCCTTTGTTCAGTGCCATCGTAACTTTGAACGGTCACTGAACAAATGGTCTTAAGTTGAGGACTACTTGTAGAAGGGTTTTTCCCCCCTCTACTGACACCAAAATCATGGAACGTGTAATACAACAGAGCAGATAGGTAATGTAGGGGGAGTAAACAGTAGCAGAAGAACCAAACTTTCAGCATTTCCATACAAATACCCAAAGCTTAAGCCTTATACTTTTCACTTACACCAGCAAAATGCTCCAGGAAGAAAGGAGTGATAATTATTTCCTATCATTATGACTGTGATTAGAGGTTATCATTTACAAAACAAAGCCTATGTTCTTGCTGCTCAGTAACTCTCACAGAATGGTCAGAAAGACCCAATGATATTTTTAAAAAGATTTCCAGCAGCTACTGGTGTCCTCACTGGTGTGGAAGTCCTTTTGAAACATCTTCAGTCAAGCCAGTGCTGGCTTAAGAACACTGCCTGAGAAACAAGTGATTATGTCCATAAATTAGATAAATGTGAGTTTATCTATATATTACAGATATAATATACAGATAAACTTACAATTATCTAATTTGTACTCAGAGAAGAAATATTTTGGCATGTTTTTTTTTAAATATAAAAGACAAGCATAACTATACTGGATGGTAATTTTTACTAGGAAATCTTAGGAAAAAAATGAAATATTTCAATTTCTTTAAAATCTTACAACCATCTCTGTTCCTGCTCTGTTTATCAATTACTATGGTAATTGCAAGTAAGTACAGTTAAAAAAACCCATCAATCTATTAACTGATCTAGAGATTAATTCTATGAAGGTTTGATAGAAGCTCTAAGTATTTCATAGCAGGGATAATTTTTGTAAAGCACTCAGGAAAATAATAGAACTAAATACCTGGGTGATGAGAAATTGGTGATGTAACAAATCCAGAAGAGGAAGTTTCCATGTTTATCGACCTTCTGACTTGTGGAAATGAAGAATGCCTAACCACAGATGGATGCTGTAATAACCAGTTACTTGCTGTACTTCTCCTGTGGTAGACCTGCACACAATTTTCAGCCCCATGAATACATACGTTTTTACCTACCAAAAAGGAAAATATAAAAGTTTATAGGAGGCAAACTCTGAATAAGCATATTACAGATTTTGATGTAGAATCTGAAATGAAAAATGTTATACTAATCTGGATTCATAATTTAGGTCTGAAAGTTTCCCAGTTTTAAGAATTACAGCTGCAATAGATTAAGTAGATATACTGTACTTAAGAATCTAAGGGTACTTCCAGATGAATAGTTCCTAATGCTATCAAGTAAAATTCAATATGTAAACAAGGTGATGGAAAACAGGCACAGTAACAAGAGTTTATTTGCAGCTGATAAAATTTCCCACATCCATGCAAATATTAAAGATACAGGATCCTGTCTCTTTTGTAGAGTGTGTGGGAACCAGAAGGGGTCAATCACCTTATATCTTATGATTGCCCTCCTAGTGATTTTAAAAAATGGCAGGGGGATAATTTATCTATACTGGAGGAAAAGTCCTGAAAAGGAGCGTTTGGACTTTATTAACGACCTTCTTTAACTTTTTACCTTCAAAACTAAATTACTGTCTCACTGTATTCACTCACCTTATTTTTGACCACGGTTATCAAATCAAATTTATTGTAATAATAAAAAATCAGCAATGAACATAGTTAATAATTCTATATACCTTTTACCCCTTCCTCTCTAATACTTTGATTTCAAAATGTCTTCCTGAATAAAATTAATTAACTGCTACCTTATTGATAGTGGCTACTAGAAATGCTATATATATCTATAGATATCTATATCTATAGATATAGATAGATAGTGGCTACTAGAAATGCTATATATATCTATAGATATAGATATATATAGCATATAGATAGATAGTGGCTA